GTTCCCTGTCTTTTAACCAGTTCTCAATCCATGAAAGGACCTTCCCTTTTATCCCATGACAACTTAGTTTACGTAAGAGCCTTTGGTGAGGGACCTTGTCAAAGGCTTTCTGGAAATCTAAGTACACTATGTCCACTGGATCCCCCTTGTCCATATGTTTGTTGACCCCTTCAAAGAACTCTAATAGATTAGTAAGACGCGATTTCCCTTTACAGAAACCATATTGACTTTTGGCCAACAATTTATGTTCTTCTATGTGTCTGACAATTTTATTCTTTACTATTGTTTCAACTAATTTGCCTGGTACTGACATTAGACTTACCAGTCTGTAATTGCCGGGATCACCTCTAGAGCCCTTTTAAAATATTGGTGTTGCATTAGCTATCTTCCAGTCATTGGGTACAGAAGCCGATTTAAAGGACAGATTACAAACCCTAGTTAATAGTTCTGCAACTTCACATTTGAGTTCTTTCAGAACTCTTGGGTGAATGCCATCTGGTCCTGGTGACTTGTTACTGTTAAGTTTATCAATTAATTCCAAAACCTCCTCTAGTGACACTTCAATCTGTGACAGTTCCTCAGATTTGTCACCTACAAAAGCCGGGTCAGGTTTGGGAATCTCCCTAACATCCTCAGCCGTGAAGACTGAAGCAAAGAATTTGTTTAGTTTCTCCACAATGACTTTATCATCTTTAAGTGCTCCTTTTGTATCTTGATCGTCCAGGGGCCCCACTGGTTGTTTAGCAGACTCCCTGCTTCTGATGTACTTAAAAAACATTGTATTACCTTTTGAGTTTTTGGCTAGCCATTCTTCAAACTCCTCTTTGGCTTTTCTTATTACATTTTTACACTTAATTTGGCAGTGTTTATGCTCCTTTCTATTTACCTCACTAGGATTTTACTTCCACTTTTTAAAAGATGCCGTTTTATCTCTCACTGCTTCTTTTACATGCTTGTTAACAGGGCCAGCACCAGCCCTCCAAGCATGTGCTTGGGGCGGGCACCTGGAGGGGGCGGCGCTCACCCGGGGAGAGCGGGGCCGCGGCTGGGCTCGCCGCCCTCCCCCAGGCGCTCCGGCCGCCGGGGGGGAGCGGAGCTGTGGCAGGCTCACCGCCCTCGCCCCCGGCGCTCCGGCCAGTCGGGGAGAGCGGGGCCCCAGCCGGGCTCGACGCCCTCCCCCCGGCGCTCCGGCCGGTCGGGGAGAGCGGGGCCCCGGCCGGGCTCGCCACGGCCGCACTCCCCGTTGGGGGGCAGGAGGCTTTTTTGCCTCGGGCGGCAAAAAAAGCCAGAGCCGGCCCTGGTTGTTAAGCTACAGTGGCTCTTTTTTAGTTCTTTTACTGTTTTTTCTTAATTTGGGGTATACATTTAAGTTGGGCCTCTATTATGGTGTCTTTAAAAAGTGTCCATGCAGCTTGCAGGGATTTCACTTTAGTCACTGAACCTTTTAATTTCTGTTTAACTAACCCCCTCATTTTTGCATAGTTCCCCTTTCTGAAATTAAATGCCACAGTGTTGAGCTGTTGAGATGTTCTTCCCACCACAGGGATGTTAAATGTTGTTATATTATGGTCACTATTTCCAAGCGGTCCTGTTACTCGCTCCTGCTCTCCACTCAGGATTAAATTGAGAGTTGCCTCTCCCCTTGTGGGTTCCCGTACCAGCTGCTCCAAGAAGCAGTTATTTAAAGTATCGAGAAATTTTGTCTCTGCATTTCGTCCTGAGGTGACATGTTCCCAGTCAATATGGGTATAATTGAAATCCCCCACTATTAATGAGTTCTTAATTTTGATAGCCTCTCTAATTTCCCTTAGCATTTCATCATCACTATCACTATCCTGGTCAGGTGGTCGATAATAGATCCCTAATGTTATATTCTTATTAGAGCATGAAATTTGTATCCATAGAGATTCTATGGAACATGTGGATTCACTTAAGATTTTTACTTCATTTGATTCTACATTTTCTTTCACATATAGTGCCACTCCGCCCCCTGCATGACCTGTTCTGTCCTTCTGATATATTTTGTAACCCGGAATGACTGTGTCCCATTGATTGTCCTCAGTCCACCAGGTTTCTGTGGTGCCTATTAAATCAATATCCTCCTTTATCACAAGGCACTCTAGTTCACCCATCTTATTATTTAGACTTCTAGCATTTGTGTACAAGCACTTTAAAAACTTGTCACTGTATATTTGTCTGCCCTTTTCTGATGTGTCTGATTCTTTTTTATGTGAATGTTTCTCATCTGATCTGGCCCCTACTTTATCCTCTTCCATCCTCTGCTCCTGACTATAACTTAGAGAATCTCTATCAATAGACTCTCTTCCAAGAGAAGTCTCTGTCTGATCCACATGCTCCTCTGCAGCAGTCGGTTTTCCCCCATCTCCTAGTTTAAAAACTGCTCTGCAACCTTTTTAATGTTAAATGCCAGCAGTCTGGTTCCACTTTGGTTTAGGTGGAGCCCATCTCTCATGTATAGGCTCTCCCCGATCGCAAAAGCTTCCCCAGTTCCTAATGAATCGGAACCCCTCCTCTCTACACCATCGTCTCATCCATGCATTGAGACTCTGAAGTTCTGCCTGCCTACCTGGCCCTGCGTGTGGAACTGGGAACATTTCTGAGAATGCCACCATAGAAGTCATGGATTTCAGTCTCTTCCCTAGCAGCCTAAATTTGGCCTACAGGAAGTCTCTCCTACCCTTCCCTATGTCATTGGTACCTACATGTACCACGATCACCGGCTTCTCCCCAGCACTACACATAAGTCTATCCAGATGCCTCGAGAGATCTGCAACCTTCGCACCAGGCAGGGAAGTCACCATATGGTTCTCCCAGTCATCACAAACCCAGCTATCTACGTTTCTAATGATCGAATCTCCCATTACTAACACCTGCCTTTTCTTAGTGACTGGAGTTCCCTCCCCTGGAGAGGTAACCTCAGTGCGAGAGGCAACCCCAGCACCGTCTGGAAGGAGGGTCCCAACTATGGGAAGGTTTCCCTCTGCTCCCGTTGACTGCTCTGCTTCCCTGGGCCTTTCATCCTCCTTAACAGTGCAGGGGCTGTCTGACCAGAGGTGGGACAATTCTACAGTGTCCCGGAAAGCCTCATCAACATACCTCTCTGCCTCCCTTAGCTCCTCCAGTTCCGCCATCCTGGCCTCCAAAGCCCGTACGTGGTTTCTGAGGGCCAGGAGCTCCTTGCACCGAATGCACACATACGCCACCCGCCCACAGGGCAGGTAGTCATACATGCTGCACTCAGCACAATAAACTGGGTAGCCCCCACTCGGTTGCTGGGCTTCTGCCTGCATTGTCTCCTGCAGCTACCTAGTTAATGAAAGGGTTTTGTTTAAATCAAGAAGTTTTGAATGTAGTTTAGTTTACAGGTTTTAAAGGACAGCAAGTGAACCTTGCCCCCTTCCCGTTCCCCTTCTAAACTCCCTAGCGATACTCCCCGTTAGCAGCCCCTATTTGCAAAGCTCCCTGATCGCTTGCACACTGCTTTATAAAGCTCTGGCCTTCTTGATAACCCCGCCCACTGACTAAGGCTCAAATACAAAAAAATTCACAGAAATTGTAGTCTGGCACTTCAGTTAATCTGCTTCTTTCACTCACCCCATCTTCAACTGCTGTGCAAAATCTGCGGGTATTAACCATACTCCAAGCATAACCATCTCACTTTCATTTTGTGCCCTGTGCTGATTGCTCCAACCTCTTCACTTCAGAGTCACTTCACGTCATGCTTCCCTCGTCTCCACTGCACTGTCCCTCCCGCTCCTTCCTTTGTCTTCCTGTGTAGCTAATCCTCTCCCAACAAAACTCCCCCCTCCCTCCCACAAAAGCACTACTCCTCTTTGGGAAAAACAAACCAACCTTGAACTGTGATATTTGCAAACAAGTACTCTGCTCCCTGCATCCCTTTCTTGTCTACTTAGACTGTAAGCTCTCTGGGGCAGCAACTATCTAGTACTCTGAACAGCGCATAGTGTAGTAAAGTAGTCGTCAAAGGGTTAACTGGGATATACAGACTATTATGGTTTAGTTCCAGGCCAATGGGGGCTGCGGGAAGCGGCGCAGGCCGAGGGATGTGCTGGCCGCCGCTTCCCGCAGCCCCCGTTGGCCTCGAATGGCGAACCGCAGCCAGTGGGAGCTGCGATCGACCGAGCCTGCCGACGCTGCAGGTAAACAAACCGTCCTGGCTCTCCAGCGGATTTCCCTGATGGTCCGGGTGCCAAAGGTTGAGGATCCCTGGGTTAGAGCCATGCTTCTGTTTAGTTAGTTGGCATCCCTCTACGCCGTTATGTAGCTGACTAAAGCAGCATGTTCCCAGCCTGCAGTGCTGTAAGAAGAGTGCGTTTCTTGCATGCTGAGCAATCCCTTTACAAAGCCTAGAGCAATGGGCCCCTGTTCTTGGTTGGCCCGTAGTGCCCATTACATAGTCAAGCACGTGTTCTTACAAAGCTATTAATTAATCACTAATTAATCACTTGGTAGTGTCATTCAAAAATACTGTGAGCTATGAGCTGAGATATAACAATTGTCTAATGTTACACTCGAGCACTTTAAAACACTGAGGGCTACATTGTGGGCAGCAGTGGCTGTGAAATGACTACCACTGGTCAGACAGCGGGCATTCCCAGAGTGGGTTAATTCAATGCGTCTTTCAGCAGCACCTAACAGTGGAAGAGAGCACCTCTGGAGTGTTGGCAGGAATTATAGCTACTCTCCCCTAATGTAAACCCCAAGGGATAATGGTGGTGGCACCTCCTGTCCTTTATGACTATGCGCTGGGGCAGAAGTTGGTCCAGTAAAAGATATTACCTCGCCCACCTTGTTTCTCTGGGGCAGAATAGGCTTTGTATACTCCAGGAGGTGTAATTTCCCTGGACCAGGTTTCCCAAATCTGACCCCCTCAAGTGTAACAGTTTCCAAGCTGATCAAACCTTTTTGGATTACTTTAAACCCCCATCACGCTGCCTTTCTTAAGAGAGCTTATTCTGAATGGGAGTCACCCCATGAAAGGACTTTGATATGGGCTGAAACTAAATCAGTTTCAAGGAAATGCAACTGGAAACATACTAATTGAAAATCTTTCCAAGCAAGCAATACAGACTGCTATTCTCTTGGGCTGTCCCCGCCCCCAGCTAAAGTGCACCAGATTTTCTGTACTCATTTAACCCTCGCACTGCAGCATTGCTCTTATGGCAACATTCATAAAACAGATATGTTAAATCTTCTATGAATATTATTTCCATTCAGACACCTCATTTTAACTTGGCCAGACAACTAGAGGCTGGGGTTTTTGTTTTGTTTGGCTTAACTAGATCTGAGATGTGGAGTTGTTATAGCTGTTTGTTAGCTGGGATACAAATTAAGGCTGCCTAAATGTTTTCTGCTTCCTGAGTCCCATCGAGGTGATGGCATTGAGATTAAATTTTCATGATAGTTCTCATTTTTACATGTTCCATATGGTATTTTTTGTAGGCACATGAGTATTGAATACAAGGTTAAGGGTCGTTTGCTTTTGGAAAAGCACTTGTTCAGAAACTAGTATGGCGTTTCTGATTTACTGAGGTATTATGGCAACTAAGAATATTCATACCAATATTCCTCTCCTCAAGATTTTTTTCTTAAGTGAATTAGATAAAAACAGCCCATAAGTAAAGAAAAGCCATTTCTACTTGAGCAAGCCTATAACTTCATTTGAGTAGAACAACCCCTCCATATTCAGTGAGGTCAAGATGATCTGCATAGCCATAGATCGGCTGGCCCCACCAGGATGCTTGGGCTGACCCCTTAAGCACAGCTAATACACCTATGGTGCATCCCAAAATTCTTCAGTCTCTTCTTATACATTGAAACTGCACTTCTTTTGCTGTTAGAGCACCTTTGCCGTAATGAATTTACTTGAATTTAATAGTTTGGTAGGACTTTACATTCTATAAAAATAGATTTTAAAGAGCATTTACCTAGCTGAGGCAGGGTTTAAGTCAAAAGCTAGAGCAGTTATATAACCAGAGTTTGGTGATCTTTTGATTTCTTGTGCTCAGGAATACCACTCATGAACTGTACCTATTTTTTTTTTAAACAAACAACAATAAACAGGAGATCACAGCCTTGAGTGCTGTCCATTCGGCACCTATCTTCAATAATTCAATGCAATATTTTTCTGGACTTCATTAAGTTCTAAAATAAAAAATCCGCTTTTTAAATTTCATCCATATATGTTTGTTCACCAAGCTTTAATGTACGTATACCTAATTTAAAATATATAGTACACACTCACATGGACAAGCAGGGACAGCATTAAGATCTTGCCTTACATGCCTTTTACTTTTAAAGCCCAGTGTTATTACTGATGGTGATTAGGATTTCTTGCTAATGAAACAAAGATGGGGGAAAGAACACATTTGATATTACGAATGTGTTTCTTGCTCTTTCATGTTGCATATAGATTTCATTGTTGGTGTAGCTAGGTGTGGGGGGTCATGAAGAGGTGTGGTCTGGTGGCTCGAGCACCGAACTAGGCATTGGGAGCATTCCAGTTCTAATTCCAGCTTTGACACCAACTCCCTTGCTAGCCGCAGGCAAGTTACAACGTCTTTATTTCAATTTCTCCATGGCTAAATAACTATCTGTTTTGCCTGGCTATCCTGAGGATGTTAGTTAATGTGTGTGCTGTGTTTTATCCATGAAAAGTACTATATGTACAGCACACATGCTAAATGTTATTAAAATACAGGTAGCATCAAAGTATCTTACATTTAAAACTATTTGAAATATGTTGAATAGAATATGCCTTACTCCAGATCCTCTTTAAAGAGCACTGCAGCTTTAAGGGTATCATTCCAGATCCACATCACACCCACATATTTGTCCTCTCTTTACACAGCAAGTGCCAAGCAGTGACATCTACTATAGTCTCTAGGACACGCTGGTCTCAGCCACAGAGTAAAAAAAAAAAGGGGGGGGGGAGGAGAAGGGAAAGAGAGAGCGAGAGCACGAATCTTGTTATGTTCCAAAGGATGAGTCACTTCCTAGCCATAATTCTGAGAAGCTTATTTATTGCAGTTTTGCTGATAGGAAACCTAGCTCCATTTCTCAGCAGAGTTTCAGGACCCAGCCTCCCTCCTGGCTGTCCATTAATCATGAGGGACTGTTCCGAAGTGTACACAGAGTGGGAGTTCTGCCTGTGAGTGGCCTTTAGCTGTCTCCAGTTCAATGAAATTACCTTGTGTGAAGACTTGTTTTATGAGAGATTGGTTTATTTGTAACTAAACTACTTCCTCTGTTATTTGATAAGCTCAAATATTTGCTACTGATAGTCGGAGAGTGTCACATTTATTATCCTGTTTCAGGCATTGCCTAACTCCTTTGGACCAGGCTTCTTTTAACCCCTTGGAAGACAGCAGCAAAAATGCTGGAAACACTTGCGTATTCCAGTTATTCATGCTCCACTATGACAATTTGTTTAAATTCGTTTAGTAAGAATACGTGACACAGAGAGGTGATTTATACATTTAATGTATAATTCCTCAGCTATGTGACTCACAGATATAATTCTGTCCAGGGGTTCTGAAGACATTTTGAAGAGCAAAAGTGGAGCTCCCATTGGGTGTGTTACTAGAAATCCAGAATGGATTGGAAATGAAACTGTGCGCATCTTCCTTTTTATGCTGTAAGGTTATTTAATAGAATATTTGAAACATAAAGGCAGTGTGGTCCAGTGGATAGGGCACTGACCTAAGTGTCAGGAGACCTGCAGCCACATCGTCAAAAGGTATTTAGGTGCCTAACTCCCTTTGTTTTCAATAGGAGACAGATCCACTGAGGATCTGGGCCTCGGTTCTATTCCCTGTTCTGCTACGGATCAGCTGTGTGACTTTGAACAAGTTGCTTCACCCCTTCTTCCTCAGTATACCCATCTGTTAAACAGTAATAGTCATACTTATGTTCTTTTTTTTAAAGTGTCATGAGATCTATGAATGAAAAAGCACAATGTAAGAGATCAATAGTACTTTTATTATATCCCATTTATGTTTAGTGCCATATTGTCCCCGGACTTTGTGTATGTGCAGAAGTCTGGAGTATCCCTGCATTCTCTACACAAGGGCCACGGGCAAATGTATACCACATGATTGGGGGAGCACAGGGACTTCACCCTCTATGCTCTGCCAGGAATGCAATATAACCCTGATAGGGCAGGGGTGGGACTGTGGATTCATATCAGCTCACACCATCCTAAGGAACAAGTTTCAGAGTAACAGCCGTGTTAGTCTGTATCCGCAAAAAGAAGAACAGGAGTACTTGTGGCACCTTAGAGACTAACAAATTTATTAGAGCATAAGCTTTCGTGGACTACAGCCCACTTCTTCGGATGCATATAGAATGGAACATCCTAAGGAAGCAGACTGAAGTGCCCAGGGACAGCTCAGGGTGTGCATGCCACCTATATGCTAGGAAGCTCAGGGACAGCTTGAGACCTAATCCCTCCTGGGCCTTCCCCAAGGAGCTGCACCACCCCCAGTGCAAGTCAGGGACCAATACCAAAATCAGCAACTTAATATTCAAAATGTACATTCTATCAGCAATGATGCAGTATAATGGGATCCCATTGACAGTGGACAGATACGTTTCATTTTGTTGCTTTATGAATGTTTTCAGTATTTGTTGTGGGATGGTGTTTTACTGTAGTATTTAACTAATACAGAGTGCTCTGTGGAAGACTCTGTTACAAGTTACAAACATCTTAAATAAGATTTT